GCATGCCAGAGATTAAGCTGAGTCACTGGACCACACCCCACAGGGGATAAAAGGGGGTGTGGTGGCCATTCAGGCTCTGTGACAGACAAAACTAAACAACTAGCGAGTCGCATTGTATCTCTGAAACTACGTTATCTGCCTGCCTTGGATTTAATATGGACTGGACTTGACAATTCTTTGACTTTATGTATTTGTTTTGGTTTATCTGACAGAGGAGGAACACCTCCCTCTGTGAGTAAAGTTCTTGGCAAGCAGCTACTGGGTTGCTGCCAATCCTGTTATCAAAGGAATTTATTGTCTGCAAGTTTTATTTAACCCCTGGCTGACTGTTTGTGTGCGTGTGTGAGACGGGGACAGGACATAAGGAATTAAAGGTGTATTTGCGCTTGACAACTAGAGATCATTATCAAGTTCAATGTTTCTGTTGCTTGAGTGGTGACCCTCAAATTATTTCTTTCCCTGATGCTGGCTGCGGTTCATCTTATATTCTTAGCCACAGATTATATCAACCAAGCAAACATGTAAATAAATCCCATGATATAATCTTCTTTAGCCTCAGATTTGTGGAGTGAATGTGAACATTAACAGGGTTATTGAGCTGCTGTTCCCTACGTCCGTGTCATTTTCTTTCCTCAAAAAAACTCTAAAAGGAGGTCCCCAGAAGTCCTCAGAAGGTAGCCTAGTCCACACAGACTTGCTTAAACTTATACAGTGGCAGTCTATCTAGACCAGATCTTCTAGATTGGTAAAGGACACCCAGTCCTGATAGTCAATTTTATTTTATATTGGCCAAGTGTGATTGGACACACAAGGAATTTGTCTTGGTGCATATGCTCTCAATGTACATAAAAGAAAAGATTTGTTCGTCAAGAATCATAAGGTACAACACTTAATGATAGTCATAGGGTACAAATAAGCAATCGGGAAACAATCAATATCAATATAAATCGTAAAGATACAAGCAACAAAGTTATAGTCATATGGTCATAAGTGGATGGGAATGATAAGAAGATTAATAGTAGTGCAGACTTAGTGAATAGTTTGACAGTATTGAGGAAATTATTTATTTAGCAGAGTGATGGCATTTGGGAGAAAACTGTCCTTGTGTCTAGTTGTTCTGGTGTGCAGTGCTCTATAGCGTCGTTTTGAGTGTAGGAGTTGAAAGAATTTATGTCCAGGATGCGAGGGGTCTGTAAATATTTTCACAGCCCTCTTTTTGACTCGTGCAGTATACAGGTCCTCAATGGAAGGCAGGTTGGTAGCCATTGTTTTTTCTGCAGTTTTGTTCTGCTTTAGGAATTGATACAACACTCGCCTTATTTTCTTTAAGAGCTTTGTGCAAACTCTGTGGAACTGCCAACCAAGCAAACCTACTGGGATTTCAAGCACCAGTCCTCTATTGCAGAGGTCTCCAACCTTGGCAACTTTAAGACTTGTGGACTTCAATTCCCAGAGCAAGCCTGACTGAGGAACTCTGGGAGTTGAAGTCCACAAGTCTTAAAGTTGCCAAGGTTGGAGACCCCTGCTCTATTGCTTTGAAATCTCCAACTTAAAAAGAAGAGAAACCTTTTCAAATAGACGTAGAAAGGCCTGCAATCTCAACCTGTCCATCAAACGCAAAAGAGAGAAAGAGAGAGAGAGAGAGAGCGAAGAAGCTGCAGAGTGGAAGTTGCCTGAGGCAAAGTTGCTCTCAGATCATTTCCTTTACATGGGATCAACCTTTTCCTCCTTCGCTTTACAAGAGTAAGGAATACAATCTTAGAATACAATCTAAGTAAGAGCCGAGGTGGCACAGTGGTTAGAGTGCAATACTGCAGCTACTTCAGCTGACTGCTAGTTCAGCAGATCAGCGGATCAAATCTCACCGGCTCAAGGTTGACTCAGCCTTCCATCCTTCCGAGATGGGTAAAATGAGGACCCAGATTGTTAGGGGGCAATAAGCTATTTAGTATACTGTCTTTGGTGTAAGCCGCCCAGAGTCCCCGGAGAGTGGGCGGCATAGAAATATGACTAATAAAATAAATAAATAAAATCTATATCTCCATTGGGCTGTTTGGAGGGAGTCTAGGATAACTCGCTGCAGCCAATCCAACATGGCCAACTCGCCGTGGCCAGCTGACTGTGGCCAACCTGCCACAGACAACTTGCCATGACCAACTTGCTGCGGCGTAACTCACCGTGGAACAAGAGTTAGACTGAGATCAAAGAAATGGTGGAATAGAATCATTAAGGAAAGAATGCAAAAGGAGGGACCAAAGGAAATGCGAATGACAAAAATTAAAATAATTTGTTGAATTTCTTTCAATAATTACATTGAATGGTTGAATTGTCCCGCGGCATGTTGGCTGTGATGAGTTGTCCCATTCGGTGTTTGGAGGGGTTGATCCTCACAAGGATTTCCCCAACTGAGATTTTTGAATTGCGGATGTTGTCCTCAAGTTGTCAACTTTGTTGGAAGATTTTAAGGATAAGAGGCTTAAGTTATCTTCAAGTCTCCAACTTTGGGGAAGAAACCCCTGAGGTTGGTGCGGGAAGAGTTGGTACATTCCAACTCTTTAATTAGTTAGTTAGTTAGTTAGTTAGTTAGTTAGTTAGTTAGTTAGTTAGACTCTGCCTAACTAACTTGCTCCAACTGATAAACCTGCTTGAATGAGCAGCAAAAGGTCTCAAACTAACAAGAAAACAAGTCCAGTTGCCACGACTCAAACTTCAGACAAGTTTACCTGGAGGACTGAGAATCTTCATTGACTCAAATATCTTAACTTCTGCCTCTTGCAATTTTAGTTTTGGTAACCTTTTCCGTGCAGACGTTTTGCAGTTGGAGAACGCCCTATCTGTACATTTGTTGGCACGTAAATCAAAGTTCCTTAAAAAATTAAGCACCAGCCCCTTTCAAAATTCTATTCCAGGAATTGCTCAAAGCTTAGCCAAATAAAAGGATTAAAAAAAAAAAAAAGCCAACGATCTTCAAAATGGAAACCTTGGATGATGTCAACCACTGCTCCTCTCTATCAGGTATGGAGGGGGACTCATCTGACAGTCATCCCTAGTGCTGGTTGGCTTAGAAACGGTTGCCAGGACAACTGGAGAGGTGAAGAAGAAAATCTTGTGCTATCCTATGACAGATCACTTGGAAAGCAAGCTTTAGTTTGATTTTGAAATCTATTCCTCTTCCTTTGCTTCAGTGGCAATTCAGTGGCAATCCTTCCAAACTTATTTCTTGTTTCCTGATTGCTTATCGTACCCTATGACTGTCATTAAATGTTGTACCTTATGATTCTTGATGAACGTATCTTTTCTTTTATATACAATGAGAGTGTATGCACCAAGACAAATTCCTTGTGTGTCCAATCACACTTGGCCAATAAAGAATTCTATTCTATTCTATTCTATTCTATTCTATTCTATTCTATTCTATTCTATTCTATTCTATTCTATTCTATTCTATTCTTTCATTTTCAACATCTAGAGTCAAAATCTTGCCAGACTGAGGACGCTGTTTTCTGCATCTAGAATATGTGAACAATTCCCTCTTTCTCTCGCATATAATATCAAGATTGAGTCGCCTTATCCCGTCTCTGCTGGGAACCCACATCCTTAGTACATTCTATCACAAAGACTTTTAATTGCACAGTTGTGGCCAACTTGATTGTGGGGGGCACACACCTATGGCCTTTCTGAAACAGTTTATAAACTCAAGTAAGTTAAATAAATATTTATCACGGATAAATTCCATCCTGGTTAGGAATACTGAGGAATACTGTTGTCAGAATGGTTTTCAAAAGCACCAGGATTGGAAGACAAGTTTGTTGTTGTTGTTCGTTGTAAAGTCGTGCCCGACCCATCGCGATCCCATGGACAACATTCCTCCAGGCCTTTCTTTCCTCTACCATCCTCTGGAGTCCATTTAAGCTCACGCTGACTGCTTCAGTGACTCCATCCAGCCATCTCATTCTCTGCTGTCCTCTTCTTCTTTTGCCTTCAATCGTTCCCAGCATTAGGCTCTTCTCCAGGGAGTCCTTCCTTCTCATTAGGAGGCCAAAGGATTTGAGTTTCCTCTTCAGGATCTGGCCTTCTCAAGAGCAGTCAGGGTTGATCTCCTCTAGGACTGACCGGTTGGATCGCCTTGCAGTCCAAGGGACTCGCAGGAGTCTTCTCCAGCACCAGAGTTCAAAGGCCTCCATTCTTTGGCGCTCAGCCTTCCTTATGGTCCGACTTTCACAGCCATACATTGCAACTGGCCTTGCATATATAGCCTTGACTATACACCGATAGAGATTGCTAACATTGTAGATCACAAAGCTTTGTTTTGAGTATTTGAGTTTAGAAGAGAAGGAAGGTTGGGCCTGGATGAGTAATCAATAGGAGACACCAGAACTGTAGGATAGGTTAAAAAAATACATCCTGAAAGAAGATACGGTAATAGTAAACCACTTCTGACTTGCTTTCAAGAAAACGGCACGGATGTTTCCATGAAGTAACCGTTGAGTCTACTAGCTCAGCCGTTTTACAGCCTTACTATAAAGAGTCTTGAGTGACTTCTCTCTCTGTGTGTGTGCCAATTACCAATTTGTTTTAATAATAGGCTTTTTCATCCACCGTTCACTGGATGCAGAACTGGCTGAGAAGTTAGCACTTTTGGAAAAGTAGAGGAGGAAGCTAGGTTTTTGCATTGGGCGGAAATCTGTGTTTGGAAACTCAGCAAGTCGTTGGCTGGCTTTACCATCACCTCTCATGCCGGTGTCTCATTTAGGAGCATATCACACACACACAGTTTGTTCACCTTATTTATTTACTTCTCTCAAATACCGGAGAAAGGCAGAAAGCTGAGACTGGCAGGAAACGATCCAAATGGATTTGAGTTCTTTGCCATCCCACTGGCAAAATCAGAGACTCCTCAGGTTGTACAGGGAAAGAAATTGCACCTTCCAGAGGCTGAACACAGGTAGAGATTAGTAGGCATCTGTTCATATCATCTGTATGTGTTCTTCTATTTTCAGATTCTTGAGGAGACGAAGAAGAGATGGCAGCCAGAGACAAAAGTGCTGACAAGCGGAAAACTAAGATGAATCGTACACTGTGAGTAGATGCAATACTTTTCGTTCTCTTCGCCTTGTTATTAAGCTCAGCTAAAAGATGGTCCACATTTGGGTTAAAGAACCTAATCCCTCCCCTTTTATAATCTCGTTCCACAAAGTACAGGTAGTCCTCGGCTTACGACCACAGTTAACCCCAAAACTTCTGTTACTAAGTGAAACATTTGTTAAGTGAGCTTTCCCTCCATTTTGCAACTTTTCTTGCCACAGTTGTTAAGAGAATAACTCGGGGGTGAAATCCAGCAGGTTCTGACAGGTTCTGAAGAACCGGTAGCAGAAATTTTGAGCAGTTCGGAGAACCGGCAAATGTCACCTCTGGCTGGCCCCAGAGTGGGGTGGGAATGGGGATTTTGCAGTATCCTTCCCCTGGAGTGGGGTGGGAATGGATATTTTGCAGTATTCTTCCCCTGCCACGCCCACCAAGCCACACCCACAGCACTGGTAGTAAAAAAAATTGGATTTCACCACTGAAATAACTGCAGTTGTTAAGTTAGCAACAGGTGAATCTGACTTCCCCATTGACCTGGCTTGTGAGGAGGTTACAAAAGGGGAACACATGATCCTGGGACGTTGCAATCATCATAGATATGATGAAGGACTAAGAGTCAGTATCTATGAGTCAGTTGTCATGTGTGTGACTTCTGACCACGTGACTGTGGGGAATGCTGCAATCATCATAAATGTGAAAAATGGTCAAAAGTCGCTTTCTCCGTGCCGCTGTAACTTCGAACAATCACTGAATGAACTGGTGGTTTTTTTTTATTTATTTATTTATATGCCGCCCTTCTCCGGAGACTCAGGGCGGTTTACAATGTGTTAAGCAATAGCCTTCATACTTTTGTATATATTTATACAAAGTCAGCTTATTGCCCCCACAAACCGGGTCCTCATTTTACCCACCTTAGAAAGGATGGAAGGCTGAATCAACCTTGAGCCTGGCGAGATTCGAACTTACAGTAATTGCAGACAGCTGGTGTTAATCACAATGCTATCAGTCTGCTGAGCCACCAGGCCCCTTGACTGTTGTAAGTCAAGGACAACCTGTATATGATGATAGATTCAAAACTGATCCAAAAGCACCAATATATTACAAGTGCTTCTCCATTGACTCCCACAAAATACAAATTTCTACAACGGGAGCCTAAATTAGAAAATAGCCTTATTTGGGTTCTCTATCCTCTTAAGACTCCGATGACCAAGGAAGCAAAGAGTTGACTCTTTCCTTCCATCTAGTGGCCATCCAGATTTCTGCAGTCCAGTATGTTAGCATGACATTTAGAAAGACATTGAAAAGTATAAATCAATCAATCAATCAATAACTTTATTGTCATTGTACGTGTATACACAGTATACCCATATAACGAAATTCACTTAACACCCAAAGACCAGGTCCAACACACATAACAATCCCCAAACACACTCCCACCCACCACAATTCCCCACCCCTCAACCACCCAAACATCCACACAACAGACCAAGTAATGCTGTCCAACAGCTCACTGATGGTGGCCCTTTAGTTCATTGTTGAGTGCAATTATAGCTCTGGGATAAAAACTATTCAGAAAACGTGGGGTCCGAGTTTTAATTGTTCTGTATCTTCTGCCAGAAGGCAACAGTCCAAAAAGATTGTAAGCAGGATGGGAAGAGTCTCTGAGAATATTATGCAACTTTCTCAAACAGCGAGATTCGAAGATGTCGTCCAGGGCTAGTAGCTGGAGTCTAAATAAGTTTGCTAAATAAGTTTGCTTGATGCCTAAGCTTCCACATGGAATATTCTGGGTATTTTGTAAACAGCAGTCTTCAAACTGTTTAACTAAGCAATCAGTTAAGTTTTATCCCTACCAACCAGAGGTGGTATTCACTCACTTACTTTCCCTACTGATTCGCAAATGTGAGCACCCGCCCACTTCCATGCATGTGCCCAGCCTAAAAAACAATGCCTAAATAGGACGGCATAGAGCTGGGGTGGGTGGGCTGGCCACCCACCCCATGATTTCCACTACCGGTTCGCCTGAATCGATCTGAACCATCTGAATACCACCTCTGCTACCAACAATCCCGTGAGCGAGTTAGGCTGAGATGGACTGACCTCCCCAAGGCCAGTGAGTGAGCTTTGGGTTCAAGGAAGTGATCGATCTGGTTCTCTCCAGCCATAGTCCAACTCTGTGCCTTCCTCCATGATTGATTCGCTTCCAGTTCTCCCTGTGGATGCTACAGTCCAAAATAGAAGGAGCCAGTTGGGGGGAAAAATTGTAGAATAGAATAGAATAGAATAGAATAGAATAAAATAGAATAGAATAGAATAGAATAGAATAGAATAGAATAGAATAGAATAGAATAGGAGTTGGAAGGGACCTTGGAGGTCTTCTAGTCCAACCCCCTGCCCAGGCAGGAAACCCTACACCACTTCAGACAAATGGTTATCCAATATCTTCTTAAAAACTTCCAGTGTTGGAGCATTCACAACTTCTGGAGGCAAGTTGTTCCACTGATAAATTGTTCTCCCTGTCAGGAAATTTCTCCTTAGTTCTAAATTGCTTCTCTCCTTGATTAGTTTCCACCCATTGCTTCTTGTCCTGCCTTCAGGTGCTTTGGAGAATAGCTTGACTCCCTCTTCTTTGTGGCAACCCCTGAGATATTGGAACACTGCTATCATGTCTCCCTTAGTCCTTCTCTTCATCAAACTAGACATACCCAGTTCCTGCAACCGTACTTTATATGTTTTAGCCTCCAGTCCCCTAATCATCTTTGTTGCTCTTCTCTGCACTCTCTCTAGAGTCTCAACATCTTTTTTACATGGTAGTGACCAAAACTGAATGCAATATTCCAAGTGTGGCCTTACCAAGGCATTATAAAGTGGTATTAAGACTTCACGTGATCTTGAGTCTATCCCTCAGTTTACCTTCTGGCCAAGCTAGCTCTTAGTCCTTCATAAATAAAATTTGAACTTTGCCCCTAAAGGATGACTCAGATTGCCTGTTACATCACTCACAAGTGTCTTGATAACGCACATCAAGCTCTCCAGATATTTATTGAATTTAGTTGAGTCTTTTTATGGTTCCTTACAAGCAACCAGATTACTGCCCTTGGAGATAACCGGAAGAGGTCATTAAAATTTAGGAAAGTTTGCTGGTAACTATTTATAGCCTCTAATGACAAAACAGATCTATAGCGATGGGATCAAAATAGTAGACAGCAGGTTATAAATATATGTTTGTCCATGTTGAATATTCCCTTGTAGACTATTGTGCCAGAACTCAAGATTTCCTGAAAAAGATTCTGACTACCAGGCATAAGAGTGCTAAGAAACAGGGGTGAAATCCAGCAGGTTCTGACAGGTTCTGGAGAACTGGTAGCGGAAATTTTGAGCAGTTCAGAGAACCGGCAAATACCACCTCTGGCTGGCCTCAGAGCAGGGTGGGAATAGAGATTTTGCAGTATCCTTCCCTCAGGAGTGGGGAGGGAATGGGGATTTTGCAGTATCCTTCCCCTGGAGTGGGGTGGGAATGGAGATTTTGCAGTATCCTTCCCCTGCCATGCCCACCAAGCCACACCACACCCACCAAGCCACTCCCACAGAACCGGTAGTAAAAAAAAAATTGGATTTCACCACTGCTAAGAAACCATTGTTGGTTTTGAGGTAGACATCTCTTGCCTTATTTTGGGAAACGTGTGAATAAAACCCGCCTTACTTCACAGAAGAGATGCAGAATTCTGCATGCGCGTACGCGAAGTAAATTGAATTCGTCTTTATTTGTTAGTTGAGAAAATATACCCCGCCTTTCAATCTGTGGTCAGGGACACTATGCAGCTATAAAAATAGCTAATGCATCAGAACCAACAATAATGAAACAAATTAAGAGAGAAATAGGATAAAAATGGAGCTATTTGAAGTCAATAATTAATTTGATAAATTAAAGCTGACTGTCGCTTACAAGACTGTCAAATTTTTTTTTAATCATAATTCAAAAAGATTCTACTGCATAGGCCCGTGATGGCAAACCTATGGCACGCGTGTCACAGGTGGCACACGGAGCCATGTCACCTGGCACGCCAGCTCAGCCTCTCTAGGAGTCTCTGGAGGCTGGGGACAACAAAAAATGTCACTTCCTGTCAACCGGAAGTTGGGAAACGGGCCGTTTCGGGCCTCCAAGGGGGTGGGGAAGGCTGTTTTTGCCCTCCCCAGATGCATAGAGAAGATCTGGAGCCAGGTGAGAAAGAAAAACGGGCCTACCGGGCCATTGTGTGCCAGGAGCGGGGGGCAGGGAGGGGGTGTCATGCATGCATGCGCAGGGTGGGGCGTATAGAATTATGGGTGTGGGCACGTGCACGCTCACGAACCTCCCCCGCCCCCCCTTCCTGGCATACGATGGCAAAAAGGTTAGCCATCACTGGCATAGGGTATGCCAGAATTTGGGAGAGGAAATATTTCATAACCAGGTCCTCTTGCCCAGTTATCTACCCGCCCAGCGTCAGAACTTGGCAAGGTAGCACTGACTAGTCTCACCCATCATCGTCACACCCTATTCCCAGATCCATCCGTGAGGGATGCCTTAATGAGAAGGGCTGATTTAATTATTTACATATTTAAAACAGGGGTGAAATGCTCCCGGTTCGGACCGGATCGCCCGATCCGGTAGTAATGGCGGCGGGTGGTTTGGAGAACCGGTAGCAAAAATCCCTGCCACCTCAGTTGGCTTAACAACCATGATCCAAAGACGTTGTAAAATCGAGGGCAACTTAATTAACAACCGCAAACTGAGCATTGGAAATTCTAGTCGTAATGGTGGTCCTAAATCAAGGACTACCTGCATAGCAATTAGCCACCCACAGTTTACAACCTGAGCAATTTAACAGATTAACAGAGTTAGAAGGGACCTTGTGCTGTAGGTCATCTAGTCCAACCCCCTGCCTAAGCAGAAGATCCTGCACCATTTCTGACAAACGTCAGTCCAGTCTCTTCTTGAAAGCCTCCAGTGATGA